CCCCACTGGGGTGCCTGGCCAGCCTGGATGAGGGGCTGATGGCTGTTTTCAGGCTGGGACTGAAGCTCCCAACTGCTCCTTTTTTTTCTTTTCTTTTTTTATTCTGGGCCAGCTTTAGCTCTGAGGCTCCAGCTCTTAGGCCTCTGCTCCTGAAAGTAGGTATCTGGTTTGTTTCGGTTCTATCATGGAAACAATGTATAACTCCAGCCTTGACTCCAGCTCTGAGACCCCAGCTCGCTGAAAGCTGGTTTCTGGGGTTTTTTTTTAGCTTCTATATTTGTTAAAATGTTTCAAACTGCCGGCCCAGAGGCCTGCAAGGCAGGCGGGGAACATTAGTTTCCTCCGTCACTGAAGCAAGCAAGCCTCATGTTAGTTTCAAGCTGCCTGGCTTCCGGCCGCCATCTTGGCTGACAGTTAATTTGCATATCTCCCTGATTAGCCAATGGGAAGGGTAGCGGTCATACGCCAATTACCATGTTTCTCTTTTATTAGATAAAGGATAAGGAAGAAAAGTTATCAAAAAACAAACAAACAATGAGAATAAAAAGTAAGCAACCATAAAATATACTGCTGCCAAAGTTTCAGTAAATGGTTTAGAAATATTAAGTGGTGTGTGTGTGTGTGTGTGTGAGAGAGAGAGAGAGAGAGAGAGAGAGAATAGAGACACAGAAAGAGAATATTTATGTATATACCTCATATAGCATAGTTTCAAATGTTTAGGCACATTATTTGCATGTAAGAAACAATAAACTGTTAACTAATGACTCATCCAACAAGATCTATATAACAAAACTAGAGGCCCAACACATAAATTTTGTGCATGGGTAGGGTTCCTAGGCCTGGCCAGCTATTAGGGCCAATTGGGGCCTTCCGGCTGCCGGCCAGGGCCTTCCTTCCTTCTGTGCCACCCCCTCCCTTGTGGTCAGCACACATCATAGCGAGTGATCAAACTCCCGATCTCCCAGTCGAACTCCTGAGGGGACACTGCATAAAACCCCACATATATTTTTATTGATTTCAGAGATGAAGGTTTGAAATAGAAACACTATAAAACAGGTTGATTTGAACAACAGTCCTGTAAAAATGGATCTATCAATTTTTAGATAGTCATGAACACAAAGTGCTCTGGGACAACTGTTGGGCATCAGGTTCAATTAAAACTTATATGTCAACCTTT